TAAAAATAAATATTTTAAAAAATATTATAAGTTTATATTTTATTTATAAGAATTTTAATAAATAAGTTTAATCTTATTAATAATTTAATATAAAATTAAACAAATATATTATAATAATAAATATATATTTATAAATAAATAAATTACTAACATTTTTATATTTATAAACTAATTTAATACAAATAAATTAAATATATTAAAACTATTAAATCTAATTTTATATTCTAATTGGTTAATTAAAAAAATTTATTTATATATATATTCATTGAATATTCACTGAATATTTGGTGAAAAAATTAAATATTTGAATATTCAATTTGGTGAAAAAATTATTATTTGAATATTCAAATATTCAATAAATATTCAAATATACTATTCATCAGATCAGACCTTTACTCAGGCCTATCAGATTGCACAATTCAAAAACCTCCAAAATTTCAAATCAAAATAGCTCAAAATTATGCCTATGAAATCAACTTCCGTGTCTTAACAAAAAATATTTCTTGTATAATTTTACTATATATTATGATTAAAACCCTAAATACAACTCTAAATAAAATCCGGATACTATCACCGCCAGCGACAAGTAGATTATTTTTTTATAATAAACATATCACACGATATGAGCTAATATTAAAAAAATTAGATATATGATCAAGAATTCGTCAACTGTTTAAATGTAACTCAAGATACCAAAAAATCGATAAAGTGTTGCGAAAGCTTTTCAATACATCTATATCTTTGAAAACCGACTTATAGACGATTTGCTAACACTAAGCGTTTGACAATTTTTTGAATTGATAAGCGTTCTAAATTGGTTTAATCATTAAGTTTCGGAGTTTCGAGCTTTGGAAAAGGCTTTGGAGAAATTTCAGGTTTCGGAAATTATAATCCGAAACCCGAAACTTTCGGATTTGGCAATAAAGGTTTCGGTGACCAACTCTAATGCATACATATTTTTCAGGCCATCCTATTCGTGGATTATAATATTTCATCTACTTATCATCGGCCCATTAATTAATTTGTAACATATATAACATAATGTTGAATAATTTGCCGACGATAAATAGATGAAATATTATAATCCACGGAAATAGGATCCGTAAAGTGCCAACTGATGTATCCGGGTATTTACAATGTCTTGAGCTATACCAAGGTACAAAATGAATTAAATAAATAAATAAATTTTATATAGTATTCGGTATTCTCAAGGTATAGGGGTACTATTTATTTCACTTTGATATAATTGTACCCAGATATAAATCAAATTTAAGTTCACAAAGTTCACAAATCATCACAGGGTATATCTCTACCGTATGGCACTTTACAGTAAGTACGTATATCTCAATAATTTGTATGAATTATTCGATAATTATTATAAAAGATCTTAGTCGTGTCACAAAAATGCCAATCAGAGCTTAGGTAGAAAGGGGTAATTTGGCGAAGTTAAAATGATAAATATAACAACTTTTTATTTTGATATTAAAAATTTTTTATTTTTTGCTTTTTTAAACTTTATACACAATTTAGAATTATTTTTATATAAAATTAATAATAGGGAACGCCTATTTCCACCATGAAAATTTACTATTTTACGTAATTTATCATGATAAAATGTTCGTCATGTTTATGTGGCTAAAAGTCATGTGAAAAGCATGGTGGAAATAGCAAATTTCCATGGTGGAAATAGGCCTTCTCTAATAATATAACATTTTGTTTTAAAATAACATTAAATGGGGTTATACATCGTATCAAAAAGCTTAAATTTTAGAGAGGTAGGGATATTTTGAGTAATCAGAAGCAGGGATGGCAAGTCACAATGTCCAATTAGTTTCAATTTTTTTTGAACATATCTCCAATTTTTTTTGAACATATTTCCAATTTCAATTAGACATATGTTCAAAAAAAAATTGAAACTAATTGGACATTGTGACATGCCATCCCTGATCAGAAGCGAATAATTTTTATATGTCTCGATGTCATCGATCATATACTACACAAAAATAATCCTTGAGGGAATTATGACGAAGTGTAAATTTGAAAAATAATCTATGATATCTTGTAAATCAGTGATCAGATTGGAACTAATCAAATGTTATTAAGGTTATTTGATCTCAATCACTAGACCATGAGATAGAAATAAAAACGAACAACTTGAAAAACACAACAAACGGCAGTCTAAACCTACCTCGGGTGGGTTAATTAAAAATGTCGAGAAGGCAATTTTGCTTATATATAACTACCTAAAACCTAACCTAACCATAATATCAGATGACCCTAACCCTAAAGTTAATTCAATAAAATATATATTATAAGAATCTGCTCTGATTTGTGATCCTGTGATACAGTGACCTTGTACCACATTTTGATTGGCCAAACTCGACCACGAGATCCAGCCGCAGTACCTACGAAAAGAAAAAGTTATAGTATTAGTAAAGCTGCTAAAGAAAGTAGAATATTTAAAAAGAAAATAATAGAGCACTTATCCGCATCCAACACTATCTCTACCTACCCAATTAACTCTGGTTACTCGGACCAAGTCTTTCCACGTCTCAATCGAAGCATTACCAATATTAGGGTTTGGTTAAAGTAGTTTTAGTGTTCTGGTTAGAGTAGTTTAGCTAGTATTGGTATAGTGAGTAGAATATATGTCGACTCAGTAACTTTTCCGACGCAGCTCACACTTTCTCAACGTACATACGCATTATGTGTTACATAAAACCCCATAATTCAGGTTATTTCACATAATAACTCGCATAGTGTATGTACCAGAGTTGTAGTTTTAGTGTTCTGGTTAGAGTAGTTTAGTTAGTATTGGTAGAATATATGTCACCTCAGTAACTTTTCCGACGCAGCTCACACTTTCTCAATGTACATACGCATTATGTGTTATATAAGACCTCATAATTCAGGTTATTTCACATAATAAAAGAGTTTTTTGGCCAATGAAATTGTTTATATCGAATGACAACAACAGGGTGCAGACTAGAGTTTGGGCCGGTTGAGAAAATCTCTACCCGGGTATTATTAAATTACCCGGGTTATCCGGGTAAGTTATTATTACGGATAATCGTATAGTAACAATTTCTACCTAATCCCTAGTGCAGACAAAATTTCTGACGATCAATATAACATGAAAAATGTGAAAACTATGAAAAACAGAAAATAAAAAACACACCAATCCTAATGTTATTTAAGTAAATAGATCTGACTCATATCCGGAAATTTTGTACTGCACCCTGTTGTTGTCATATCGAATCTAAGTACGTAGAAATTTATTTTTATTCAATAACTTGAGGTCGTATATAGGCGCAGCCTAAAAGCGTATTCCATTTCCAAATCGATTTTATTTTGCCTATGAGATTAATAATAAGTTTGAAATAAATTTGGAATAGGGATTAGCATTTGTAATAATTTATCTATATCTAAAATTTAAATAAACTTTGAGCCGATTTAGGATAATTATTATCGAGAAATCGTTAAAGATTTACTAAAAATCGAGAATTTTTGCTATATATCGTTAGTTATAATAGTAATCGGCAGGATACTATATGCTGATAACAATCGGCCAAATTACTATCGATATACACAGTATAGTATATCGGTTTAACAAATAAAAATCATGAATATGAAATGTCACCAATTAAGGTACTGTATCGCGACGAGCTGGGAAAAAAATTCAGAATCAAAATTATGTGCGCATTGCGCACATAATTTTAAATTTATTGTTCGTATGTCGCACATGTTATTAATATAATGTGCGCTTTTAATTTATTAACTATATAGCGTACATTATTTAAAATATATTGCTAATAAGTTATGTGCGTTTTGCGCACAATTTTATATTCATTTTGTGCGTAAAAAAAAAATTTATGTGCGGAGCGCACATCGAATTTTTTTCACTGGCGACGAGAGTAAATAAGGTAGCGGATCAAAAATGATTTATCCCCACTCAAGTCAATTTGAGATCTACATTATTAAATTATTTTATTTTGGATTGATCATAGAATGGACTTTAATCAATGTGGTGTACCCATTACGAAAGTTTGTATTTCTATAATCTCCTTTTATGAAAGCCAGGTTTTATCATTTATAGGAAGTCGCGAAAATTAAAGTTCAAGATCATAAAGATATAAATAAGACCAAACAATTGACCCGAATAATCAAAAAAAAAATTTTTCAAATTACCAATAATCGCTTCGAACAAATACCAACTATTCAAAAGTGATAATGAGATTCTTGGTCACAGTCTTTGTTTTTTTAGTCTCTGTTGCCATCCTTGCCCAAGCATCACCTATGGAAAAAAGATGTAAGCATCTTAATTGAATTTTTATTAGGCATTCTTTGTGTTTGACTAATTTCCAAAAAAGCACTAGAGTATTATTAACTTTTTATATTCGTTGCTCTCATGATTCAAGTGTATGGTTTTACAGATCCAATTGAGAAATTCACGAAAGAACACACTGCGGCCGCAGTCAGTTTAAATAAAACTATAAAGAAATTGAAGAGAGCACTTGATAAAGAATCAAGGAAATATTTTAAATACTATATTACAAATCTTTACAATGCTGTTAATCATGTGCAAAATGTTACAATGGAGTATGCGAGTCACTACGCGCATATTGACTAATGGCATAATTATTTAATATTTATAGTTATTGTCTAGTAATTTAATTTACTTTTATGATCGAAAACCTGCTGTGGCAATTATGGGACACCATTGTTATTAGACCTTAAAAAAATTTTTTTTGTCGTATGTGCTTCTTTTTTTAATGTACCAAGGATTATTGTATTATTTTTTTTTAGTTAATCCAGAAACTGCACATGTGGATGGCTTCGCCGTCAATATAACTGTATAATAATGACTTGTGACAATTTTTAGTGATTTGATAATGTTTTTGCTCAATTAAAATTAAATAATAATAATAGTAAAAATGCGCAATATATTAGTATATTGTTTAAACATCGGAACGTTTTTTATTTTGATTTTTTTTTTCTATAGCTCTCAACTTTGTGCTAAATTTTTTTTTTTTATAGAATACGTATAGGCAGTGTTTAAATTTCAAAAAAAAAATCACATGCACAAATGCATTTTGTGCAACTTTTTTTAAAAATTTTACTTGCACACTTAAGAGGTTTTTCAAAAATCTAAAAAAATCTAAAAAAAACTCTTGCACATGCGCATCTTGTGCAAGCCAATTTTAAACTCTAGTATAGGGATGGGTTCGGTCACAAACGGCCACGATTGTTCATAGTCAGTTTTCTAAATACTGTGATGATTTTTTATTTTTTAAGCTTTTAATTAAAGTTGTTCAGAATTAAATTCTCTGGAACCTAGAATTTCAAAATTTGTTAACGTTATAACCGGTTATTGACCGGTTATACATTGACAAATTTTGAAATTCTGATTTCCAGAAAAGGTATCGTTTTTTCCATTTATAAGATGGGATGAACAGAATTTAATCCTGGACAACTTTGATTAAAAGCTCAAAAATAAAAAATCATCACAGTATTTAGAAAAACTGACTATGAATAATCGTGACCGTTTGTGACCGAACCCATCCCTAAATACGTATGTTGTGACGGGCTCTGCTGCGACGGTTCAACCATTTTGTTATATAGTCGTTATTCTGTTTTTTTTCTTTATTATTATATATTTGTCTATTTTAGTTTTCTTAGAAACCTCGACAAAAAATCCTGTTAGTATTTGTTCAATAGCCTTGCCAAAAATCGAAAGCGAAAGGAAATCATTGCCGTAAGGTGCAATAAGTACGACTATGGTACTTATGGTACTTATTCGACTTATGGCACTAATGGCCTTTATGGTGCTTATGGCACTTCATCTACTTATCGCCCCTAGACAATATAGTGAATTTATTAGCTATAGTGCGCAAAGTGCATATACCCAATAACGATGTAAAAACAATAAAAGCAGAACCGTTTCGCGTCAATAAAAATCAACTCTTTGAGTTCCAAAAACCTTCGAAATAAGAGTAGAAGTGTTTGTCTTTAACCGTTGTACCTTTTATTGAAAATCGATCGTCGTTACCATTAATGTTTTGACCCGGATGGATCTTACCCGGGTCACCCGCGGGTGGGTGGGTTATCCCGGGTTGAGTTGTAACAACCCGGGTAGCCAACCTGCAGGTTGACCCATGGGTTGACCCGTGGGTTCATAGGGAGACATTCGTATGATTGGTTGATGTAAATCAACTTGCCCGGATAACTTATTTATATAGTTTAAAGTACTTTGTGAAAATGTAATGTTTCACTAACAAAAAATCATTGTAAAACCCATTTCTAGCTTCTATATTCACTGTGCAAAAATAATCATTAACCCCAAGAACATCATTTTATTGATAATACTAGTTATATTAACCATATGTAGGGATGGGTTTGGTCGGTACTGCCGGTCATCGGTCAGTCATTATCGGTTATTTTATGACCGGTAAAATAAAAAAACGTAACATTTTCGGGCTCGTAGATTCATGGGCAGAAATTCGGCTGATTGGCTAGTTTCGTAGATCAATTTGTAAATCTACATGTGATTATTAGCCAATCAAATCACATAATTTGCTATTCGTTATTTATGTTATA